GTCACTAGTTCTGAATACTAACTGGTGACAGAACTAGTGACAGCTTTGTTATCTTTCTTGAGATTATTAGGCTATTTTATTTCTTTCTTGATTAGTGTCACTAGTGTCACTAGTAAAAGAGTAATAAATTAGAAAAAAAAAATCAAATTTTTTCTATGCTACCTACTTTACACAAGATATATTATAATAAATGTATGCTATAAAAAAAATAAAAAAAGTTAAGGAACTCAGATTTTTTCCAGTGACACTAGTGACACTAGTGACATCCATCAAGAAAGGTTTCTTTCGGTCTAGAATTCCTAAAGAGCCTATTATCTGCGTCACTAGTTCTGTCACTAGCTTTTTTTTTCTAGTGATACGATCTCTTTGGGATCCACTAGTGACAAGTTATAATATTTTCGTTTACCTCTAAATTACCTATCGGTATCTCCGCCGAAGCCATCTTAGCCTGCTTTTTCCGATGATAATGTTCCTTCGATCTATGTTTTTTTACATGTGTATCGCAATAGTCATATCTGGATCTTGTCATCTCATCACATCCGCTTTCTTTGCAAGCAACTTGCCTAGAATCCTGATGGACTTTACATCCCTTTGGAGAATAGCATCTCCGATTGCACTCTTCTCCAGTCCTAAGTATATATGGACAATAATAAAAATTCCAGGATGGATCCTTTGCTTTAGCGCCTTCGGCCTGGGATCATTTCTCCTTTTTTCTGCCTCCTATTTGTTATATATCAATTAATAATGTCAGGGAATTATTTTCATTTTAAACATTTTTCTTACGAATAATATACCTCGAGTTTTGGTATAACTATAAATTATTGTAAATTGCTTAAGAAAAAATGACCCAATCTGAGCTTTCAGAGTTCCTCTCTGACGCGCCCGCCCTGTTTTGCTTAGAGGCCGAAAAAGATAAAACATCAGGTCGGGTAATCAGATATGGAAGTGAGAATTACTTGTCGGGCCTTCCAACTCGTGATGAACTAGTTGCGAGAAACAATGGGGGCTCGACTTCACCTCTCAATGACGAAATAGCGAACCATTGAGGTATTCCATTCATGCCAGTCGACATAGGAGAAGCTAAAGAATATTTTAATCAAATTCCTCATTATATTCTTCGCCTCTATGGGTATCTCGTCAATGGCCAGAAAGCAGTTGTCGCCATTATTGGTATCAAGGTATTTTTCGATATTCGTGTTCCCAACAATACAAGTATCCCTAAATTCTGGTCTAAAGTGAAGGGCATCCTTGCTACTGGGAAATACAACGAGGGGAAGACCGTAAACATGAATCTAATCCAGATGGAATGTATAAAGGCATATCCTATTCGTGGATACCATGCAGAAAAAAAGCCATATCTTCACATTGTCACACCTAATAAAGATCTAAGGTTCACCGCTCTCGATATTATCTCAAGCTACAATTCAAAGGTTGATCTTGAATGTAAAATAGAGACAGCTTCAGACGATACAGGCACATATTATCGTAAAGTTGCGAGAGAGTATAGAATACCTCTTTCCGGGTGGGATTAATAAGTGATTATAGATATAATTTCAGTGCACCTTATTATGCGAAATCCCAACATTGTCCACAGGCATTTTATGTCCACATTGAAAACTTTCATCCTATAGACAATTTTGAACTATTTTACAAAATATACCCATCTTCTCTCTTTACCCATGATCGAGCATTAGTCCTAACATGGGATATAGAAACATATAACTCGCGTGGGTCAGGAAACTTCCCAGAAGCTAAAAATGACACATCTCAAGTTTTTGTGATCTGTATAACCCTGCATTGGAAAGATGATCTGATCCCCTTAGAGCGGATATGTTTAGTTGATGTAGAAACAGAACCAGACCCGCGCTGAATTACGATTATATGCAGAAACCAGACTAATATAATAAAGGCGTTCGCTTTATGTTGAAAATCTTTTGCCCCAGACATCAAACTTGGATTTAATGATTCAGGATACGACTGGCCTTTCATTGTGGAAAAAGCTACCAAATTAAATGTTCTCGAGTGGATGGTCTAGCGAATGTCGGCAAACCCGCATAAGAAAGCTGATGCTGAATCTATCCTCACTTGGAATTATTTTGGCGGAAAAAGGAAGCCACTAACTAATGGTTTCTTCCGAAGGGACCAGTACGTAAAGAAAGAGAACAGAGGTCCCAAAAAAGCGTTAGGACGAGAATCTATCAATATCAAAATCAATCCCTCTTTGACTTTCGAATCCTCCTTTCTTAAACTTCCGGGGTGTGTACTGATCGATGTTCGCGCAAGTTTTATGCAACTTCACCCCCGCTATGAGAAAACATCACTAAAATACTTCTTAGAAAAATATGGTCTCGATGGTAAAGCCGATATGCCCATGAGCAAATAATGGAAGTATTATTCAGAAGCGAAAGACAGGGCTTAAGACTCTTCCAAAAAACATATGCATGAAATCATAAATTATTGTGTTATAGATGCTTTACGTTGTCAGGAGCTCATGGTCAAATCTAATGTTATAAATGATTACAGAGAGGTGGCCTCAATCGCTCATATATAATTATTCGACTCACATTATTATGCTATAGGAACGAAAGTATCCAATCTCTTAGGCGCTGAAGCTTGGGCGCAGGACATTCTATACACCACGAAAATTTCCAATCAGAAAGCATATGGGAAGTTTCCAGAAGCGTATGTGTTCCCGCCAGAAAAGGGTCTTGAAAATAAGCGACCTGTCACTGGTTTAGACTTTAGATCCTTGTATCCTAGCATAATTATGACTTACAACCTCTCACCAGAGAAGATGGTCTCAACACTTTCGGAAGTAGATAAGTTAAAGAGAAAGAATAAAGTGCTTCACAGTATCGAGTTCAAGTATGGCGGTAAACCTGTGCGAGCCTGGACCATACGGCATGGAAATAAATCTGATCAGGAAGGTCTATTTACAAAAATATTGAAAAATCTGCTCAATATACGGAATGAATTAAAGGCCCAACTTAAAGTTCTCGGAAAGAAAAAGGAATATATGGGGAAAGTTAAAAGTAAAATGGATTCAGCTGGCGGATCTTTCCTGGTAGTGGACGCAATCAAAGATGTTCTATCCTCTGTAAAAAATACTGAGAGGCACGCAGAGATGACCAAGATCCTAAGTCCCTTTATTATTCAGGAGGAGAGCTCTGATAGAGCTGATTTATCATATGATGATTTTATGAAAGAATATAGTTCTATTTGTTTTGAATACAATTCTTTAAATTCGAAGCAGAAGGCGATTAAATTATATATGAATTCGTTCTATGGTGTGACCGGCCAAAGTGATTCCCCGTTCTATACACTAGCACTTGCTGAGGGTGTTACTTCAGCTGGGCGAGAGAATATCAAACTCGTCGCAGAATTCATGAAAAAGAAGGGATTTGGGATAAAATACGGGGATACTGATTCCCTATATCTCACTTGCCCAGATTCTTGTTATGAGAAATGTGATCTGGCCTACAATGGCGGGAAAGGCACAATTTCGAAACTAGAGTAATGGACCGAAATGGTCACAATTACTATGGGCGTAATGGAGAAATTGCGTAATGAAGTAAACAGTTTTCTTAGGCTAAAAACCAGATCGGGTTATCTCGAAATGGCTTATGAAGAAGTGCTATTCCCAGTAGTCTTCACTGGAAAGAAAAAATATTTCAGCACCAAGCATGAAAATGCAGTAAATTTCAGTCTGGAGGACCCTTTCATAAGAGGAATTGATACTGTAAAACAAGGCAAATCCCAGCTTTTCAAAACCATAGGAGATCGGATTATGAATGAAGTTAGGGATATCAACAACGAGCACTCTCTCCATAAAATTGTTGAGAACGTTCTTAGGGACGCTATAATTAATACTGAGCAATGGAATTTCGAACAGTTTATAGAGACTGATGCATGGAAACCTGATGTAAATAATATTAGCGTCCAACGTTTTATAGGAAGAATGAGAGGAAAATATGATAGTAAAATTCCGATACCAGGTGAGCGCTTTAGTTATGTAATAACCCATCCTGATACTACCTTCGATTTACATGGTAGAAAGTTAAAACCAACTAAAGGCGAAAAAATGGAATTCGCCGATGTAGCTAAGGAATTGGGTAAGGAACTAGATTTATACCATTATTTCAAAAAAACTATTATTGGTCTCTATGCCCGATTTATCATGTATGACAAGATGTATGAGCCAGAACCCTCAAGTCGAATCATGCGAATCAAAGACCTGGATGAGAAATATAAGCAAATTGATGACTATGCTCAAAACAAGGCCAAGTCATGGCTTGAGGGATTCGTAAAAGAAAATATCATAGTCAATGGTGTTACTTCCAAGATGATAGAATCTCGTGGGATTGCTTATAAGCGTGCTTATAGAACTGCGGTCAAAAAGGCACAAGAAATGTTATATCATAAGATAGGGTACTTATACGAAATATTTCATGGCGAATGGCTTAGCTACGAGATTTTTATGGGAAGTAATCCTATTGAGATATTATGGGAGAGATTCATGAAATGCGCTAGGAAACTTACAAAAGATAAAAACCTCTCGGTGGATGGCGAAATGAAGGAAAAAATATGCTCTGATTTTGCTCGATATCCTAGTGAGCTTGCAAAATGTATTGAAGGGTATAATTTATTCTTTCACAAATTGGTCTATCATATGCGTTATAAAGAGCATATATCCATACCAGAAAAAATTGGCCCAGTCTCGTCTATGCAAAAAAATGAGATAATTACTGACTTACCAGCCTTACCTCACATATCAGAAATTGAGGCGCTAGATGACATTACTAATTTATGGTATTTCTATCTTGAAGGTGTGGTCGAGCCGGAGGTGTTAAAGCAAAGCACTTAAATGAATTATATGGATAGTACTCTTAGCCGAAATTCCCACAATCTGCTAAGAGAACTTATACAATATTATTTATATTTTTTTTTCTTGTGCAATAATACTGGCTAACTTCAATTCCTATATTCGATCTAGCCACGAGATGACCTATTCCGACCTCTGATTACACACCCAGCCTCACGCTTGTGCTGATCATATATCCCAACCTCAGATATGCCCGGAGATGATCATTAGTATTTTAATTTAGCAAAACTTCGTTAACAATATTAACGATCAGCTGAAAAATCCACATATTTTAAAGATAAGCTTTATTGGTATAATGGCCAAACTACGTGACCAAGTTTCCCAGTACATAGGCTTCGAACCCAACAAAATCTATCTCCCGATCACAGAAGATGATAGATGATTATTTCGCAAAATAATAGCGGATCAGGAAGGGATGAGAGATATCGTAATAGATGACTATCAATATTTACTACAACACGGTCATAATGGTAAGGGAGGTAACCGGATCCATATTGGATGGTTGTTTGCATGTACACTGGCCCAAGCTAAAAAGATATTAATAAATCTGCCCGAAGATTTATCAAAAAAGGTATTAGCTCACATCCAAAGAAGATTCAGAAAAGTCCCGCTCACGCCAGTACTTATACGGTAGTCGATTAGGTATTGAGATAATAAATATCCGGCCTATTTATATATTTTTTGTGTGTGAAATATCGATCATTTTTTTTATTCATACCTCATGGATTCCACCATTTCCTGACCACGAGCCATATAACTACAATCAGTAGTAAGGCAAGCATGGAATATGTTATCATCGGCGACATTAAAGAACTCGCAACGACAGGAATAGCCGGTGTTAGAGGTATTTCTTGGAACAATAGTACTGCTTCTGCGCCATCCGATTCCAAAGGAATCCCCTCACTCAAAATTATTTGGGACGAAGTATTTTTCTTTAACGCTAACTGGTCTCTGAGGGGCCTATTTTCTTCCATTAAATTTGATCGCGCCGAATACAAAGCATCTATTTCTCAACTGGCTATCTCATGTGTCGCTACTATCCCTTTTTCCATACATTCTATTGTATATTTTTTCGAATTACGGTCCTCATTCGCTCATTCCAATTCAAGCCTGAGAGATTCTATTTCAGATGAGCTTATTTGGGCCGGCTTTTCTACCACCCCTCCCGTTGCATCCAAATCATGATATGTACGCTCTAGATCTATTTCCTCCAACTTACCTTCCAATTCGCGTATTTTAGTTTCAAGAGAAAGAATCTGGACCTTGTCAGTGGACGAAGCTTTCTGGGCCAAAGTTGCCTCTCTTTTTAGTGTTTTAATATTCGATTTGAGCGATTTGATTTTGGCAGTATATTTGGCTTCAAGTTCACGTTAACTTTCAGAATGAGACTTCCGTTCAGAAATGAGTTGGGATCTAACTTTAGTACTGGACGCATTTAACTGGCTAATCTTATTTCCAATATCCTCCTCTCGCTCCGAATACTCTGAATTTTTAGCCAACAACTTTTCACAAAGATCATTAATTTCGGCTTTAGAACTAAGAGTGGTATACAATTTTTTTTTGAGTTCTTGCTCATATGCACTACCAAGCCGATGACCTTTATTATTAATTTCTTTCAAGGTATACACATTGGTTATAGCCTTTTTTTTCAGCTTAGTTGCTAGTATATTAAAAAAACATGCGATTGAAAATTTTTTACTTGGCAAATTTTTTAGACCGAATATATTGAATACACCGAATACACCAAATCTACCAAAAATATATCGATAATACCAAACAGAAATTGAACAAATACCGAAAAAATATCGAAAATATACCGGTAATTTTTCGAAAGATTTTTTTTGTCTATTTGTAAAAAATACTTCAGTATTTGCGTTCAGATGCAACCCCCTATCTGCTGAAGATATCCAGGATATTATTAAAGCTAAAAATTCAATGAAGCGGGCATCAGAAGTCATGGCTAACAAATACAAAATATCAACACGGCGGGTGTATCAAATTTGGAGAGGAGCTCACCCACCAATAGACCCTAAAGATATAAAACAACTGTCAGAAGAACCTGGTTCGTATCAGCAAGCAGAACCTGTGGAATGCAATGTTATTTCTAAGAGTAAGGTAAAAAAGAAAGGAGGAAAGAAACCCAAGTCCAAATCCGTTAGAATCTCTGAACCATCTATTACCCAGAATCAGCCAACGTCTACAAGCCCAGAGGGTTCTGAAGGTTTAAATATTAGCAGAGAGGATCTGAATGCATTTTATGAAAAAGAAGCTAAGAGAGACGAAAAAAATAAAGCAGAGGTGAATAGACGTCTAGCCGTGTAGAAGATATTTCCCATTTAGTTTATCATAGCGTACTAATAATTTCTCACACGATTCGTTAAGATCCTCTTTAGACTTAAGAGCGCTAAATAACATTTTTTCAAGCTTCTCATAACTCACTTTTTTTTTAATACGCCATCCTCACTTAAGTCCTGCGAAATGCAGTCTGGGATCATGGAATCGTCACATTCAGGAGTAATGTTCGCGCAATTCACCTCAAGCTTGTTCTTGACCTTATGCATATTAATTGGGATAAAAAATTCCTTACCATTACACTCTAGTCTCAATTCCCGCTTTGATGCAAGTAAATCATAATTATATTTATCAAGAAGTGTGTTGGGTAAAATTAGCATCAGCTTAGGATACTTAACTACAGCAAAATCAGCATATATAGTACATCCGGGAGCAAAATTTACTGGGACATTTCGGACAGTACCAAGAGATTCTATAGGAATGGTAGCGATGCCTCTAAGGTCATGTTTTTCTTTTGTATCGATTTCCAGCTTTGATCGTTCAGATATATCTTCAGACATGATCGGAAAATTAGCACCAGGATCAACTGTGCCTGCCGGAATCACTAGACGCTTAATTTTACATTTAACGGTGACAACATCTGTGGTGGGTTCTTTTTTCCGAATAAAATTTATCTCCATGGGTCCATCCAAAATATCCTCTTCATCTGAATCTTGAGCTGAGGCAGGTACACACTTTTTAGCCTGCTGAATTATGTACGGAAGATAATTCTCAAATTCGATCTGAATGATTTTTCGAATAGTTTCTTCTAAAGACACATGCTTACCATGACTATCTTTATCTGATGAGGCATTATGGGTGGAAGACAAATTATTGTCTTGCTTTACCTTACAAAGCTCGGATTTACTAGAGACCTTAGACTTTGAGGATTTATCGGGATATCCACGTTGCCCAGCGGGTTCTAAAGGGATCGCGTAATTCACTTTTTTTTTCCATGAGTTATGTAAACATTCATATCGCGTTTTCCGGGGTCTGAACTGGCTGACGAATTATCAGAGTTATAATCATTGTCCTCAGGTTTTGATGTATCATCATCAGAAAAAATGGGATCAGACTGTTCATCTACTGTAGCCATATGAACTCGACTACTTCTGGATTTGGAATCTTTAGTGAGTTTATCCAATAAGGCTTTGATTTTTCCTAATCTTTTTTCTAATCCTCCAAAAGGTAAGGACTCCGAGCGTTGACGCTGAGATGTTTTGGCACCTCTGGTATTATTTCTATCAAATTTGGCTAAGTGGGCTTCAATTCATTCTAATCTTTTTTCCAATCCTTTATTATTATAGTCTGAGGATTCTGAATACCGATACTGAGCTGATTTGGTATCTTCTCTTATGAGTTTGGTGAGTTTGGCTAAATTAATTTCGATTACTCCTAATCTTTTTTCCAATTCTTGGTTAATATGACTATCAAGGATTGAAGCATTATTCGAATTAATTACATTTTCAGGTAGTTGTAAGCATTGGGCAAGTTTAGAATGCATCTGCATTGATTTCGCTAACTGTGCTTCCAAAGAAGCTATTTTGGAATTTAACTTTTCAAAAATAGCGGAGGTTTCATTATTCTGGAGGTGTACTTGAGCCGGTTGTGCTAGTTGGGCCTGTAGAGAAGCTAATTGGAAATTTAACTTTTCAATCTCAGCTGAAGAATTATTCTGATAATTTTGGTTTCCATTTAAATTGGGAGCACTCCAGCCACATGTCTTTTAGATTTGTAAAAAATGCATTAATACCAGCAGGAGCGACAGCTCGCATCCATGTATAAAGATCACCTGATAAGTGGTTCTTAAGAAATCCTATAGTTTGTGCATCATTATCTGCTACACCTAATAATAAAGGTCAGATTCTTTTTTCATAAGTATCTGGCGAGTCTGTGGGTAGAAATTTTTCTTGAGTTAATCTTTGAAGTGCCGACTGCCGACTACCTACTGTTTCTCGTTGATAATGTGATCTCATCCAAGC